TTGGTCTGGATGAGTTTTCGTACACGAGCAGCTTATCAGCTTCGGCTTAGTCTCTTTTCAAAGATCAAAGACCAATATAACTCCTTATCCCATAATCCTCCTTCCATGTTTTCAATTCCTACTTCCAAGTAGGGTCTCAACTCCCTTTCGATCAATAATCTCGTCCCTTTCGTCATGACACTCGAGACCTAAAGCACTTCCCAAAACTATCCCACTTTACCCTCTCCCGTCACTCGAAGGGCAACTTTCCCCTGCTCACCCAGGACAAGCCGAGTTTTAGTAACTGCCAGCTCTTTTCGGCTCCGAAGTGTTTTTGCGACTCGGCGCATGCACCTGGCCGAATTTTAGTTATCGACCGACTTCAGTGTGTCACGAACAACTTTGGTCTCATTGTGGGAAGGGGGAGAGGGGTTACTTCATTTTGCCAGTGTTAATTGGGATGTTTCTACACTCATTTGAGGGGCTTTTCGTTCCTAAGTAATATATCAGCAACTCGTCGCTGTAGCTATCAATTGTACGGGATTTCTTCAGTTGCTTTGACCGGTGCTGCTTCACCCAGTGGTCAGCTTACTGCTCGTGATCCTGACGTTCGTTTCGTCTCCTGAAGGCCTATCCAGTGCTTCACCCAGCTTGCTTTAACTGTTTCGAGATGCTCTTGGTGTGCATGTGTATGTGTGTGTGTATGTGCGTGTGTGCCTATATCTGTATGCGTGTATGTGTGTCTGTACCTGTATGTGTATGTATGTCTCTGTCTGTGTGTGTGTGTGTGTCTATATCTGTATATGTATGTGCGTGTATGTGTGCGTCTATTATCTGTATGTTTGTGTGTGTATGTGTGTCTATATCTGTGTGTGTTTGTCTATATTTGTATGTGTGTGTGTGTGTTCATATCTATGTGTGTGTGTGCCTGTATCTGTATGTGTGTGTGCGTGTGTGTCTATATCTGTATGTGTGTGTATGCCTATACCTGTATAAGTATGTGCCTTTGTGTCTATATCTGTATATTTGTGTGCGTTTATATTTGTGTGTGTGTGTGTGTGTGTGCATGTGCATGTGCATGTGTGTATATGCTGTGAGCATCATGGTACCAGTTGGCACCAAGCAGTAATTAT